CGCCAAAAGTCACCTCCATCCCTTTTTCCAAGAAAAGGAATCTGCCCCAAGCTTGTTTAAATTTAGGTATATCAGTGCTCTTTAATGCGTTATAGATGCTAGCTTTATGCATGATATGGCTTACAAGCTAGTTAGGCCAGATCTTCTGGATATTAATATGAGTAGATTTCCTTAGAATATTAAAGTAGGGAGTTTTCCTTTTTCATACATATATTTCGATTTAATTCTAGGAATTGTATTTGTTATTCAAAATAGAATATAATACAAATATTTATATACAAAGGATTCCTATATTAGAAAACTACACAAAGGAAGGCATGGAAGTAAAACCCTAGATATCTAATTACGTAGGATATTTAATACTCGTGATGTGTATTGGTTGGAGAATTCTTCTTATCGATATCATCTCACATGACCAATCTCTTATGGCGCTATACTCTAACTCGAGACTTGATTGGGAGACTGTATGTTGTTTCTCGCTCTTCAATGGAAATAGATTTCCATTGACAAATACAAAATATCTTGTAAATCTATCTCATGGAAACGGGACAACCAGCCCAATCGACATAAGAGAAACCAAATATCCAGGCATCCCCTTCTTAAGTGAATGCACCCACTTACTGGCCCTGATTTGAATAAAGTATTCCTAAGCTTGGTGTGGCCTAGAGATACCTCAAAACATGAAATGTTGCATCCCATGACTTGTATAGGGAGCAACATGAAGTGGCTCAAGACACTAACATCCAATGTATATTTGGTCGACTGATCGTTAAATAGTTTACCTTTCCAACGAGTCTCCTGGATCTCTCTAGATCCTTAATAGAATTTCTATTAACATCCGGAAGAAGTTCTCTTGTAGTGAGCATCAGGCTATCTTACATCCCAATAGATCACACTTGGTAAGCATATCAAGAACATATTTTTATCCCAAGGAAGTAATGAAGCCGTCCAAGATCAGTAACTTCAATTCGAGTCTGTAGAAATTGTCTCAACTCTAAAATCACAGCTCTATCTTCGGTGATAATAATGTCATCGACATAGATCACTAGAATGATTGGTCGATTATCACAATATCTAAAAAACACAGAATAATCCAGGGAAGTGCTAGTCGTATATGAAAACCGTCCAAACTGTGCTTTAAGGGATTGTTTAAGACCATAGAATGAACGTCGCAATCATCATACCTTTATGGACTCCTCAAGAACAAACCTAGGTGGTTGTTCCATGTATACCTCATCTTAGGCACTTGTTTATGGTGCTGTCGAACATACATTTTTGTGAACAAGTATCAGTCGATACTATTGGAATAACAACATTTGATCTCTTCACAGGAATGTCAAAGACCCAAGGATCAAAAGATTCACAAGGATCTGAACAAGATTGGTTGACTCTGAACTACTAGAGCTAGGTTTGTTATAAAAGGGACTCAACTCATTGAAGGTGACATCAACTGAAGTAAAGTATCTACATATGTAGGACTATAAGAACATACCCTTTTTAACCACGTGAATACCGAAGGAATACACACTTGATAACATGCGCTGCAAGGTTTTTGTTTTGGGCGATAATTATGAATAAGAAACACATCCAAAGATTTTACGAGGCCAAGGTTGTGTCTTTTGGAAATAGAATGGAAAAAGGTGCCTTTTCTTTTAAGTACAAAAGAGGGCATACGTTCAATCAGAATTAGCTATAGAACTGCATCGGGCAAAAAGCTTTGTTGGTGCATCGTGGTGAATCATCATAGTGCTAGCCACATCCAACAAATGGCAGTTCTTTCTTTCAACAATGCCATTTTTTTTGGGTGTATAAGAACACGATGATTCATGTGTAATACCATGCTTAGATGAATAAATTGTAAAACTACAAGAAAATTATTCTTTTCCATTGTGGAATCTTAGAGTTATAATCGGGGCATAAAATTGGGTTTTGACATAAGCATGAAAATCACAAAAGATGGGAAAATCTCTAGC